AATGAAAAAAAATGCTCCTATGGCTATAATTTCAGGAAAACTTCTTAGACTTTATTTACAGGTCACAAAATTATAACTAGTGTATGCCCCCCAGGGAGATCCAGATGAAACACTGAGTCCAAGCTTTCTTGGTGGACGGACTTCCCCAGAGCTTGCAGGCAGGCTTTTGCCCTTTTTCACAAAGGCTAGTGCCACATACATACCAACCTCATTATTTTTTAAAATTCTTGGCAATTGCCTAGCGGCAGTGGCTCAGTGGTTGAGCATTGACCTATGAACCAGGAGGTCACAGTTCAATTCCCGATTAGGAGACATGCCCAGGTTGCAGGTTCCATCCCCAATGTGGGGTGTGCAGGAGGCAGCGATCAATAATTCTCTCTCATCACTGATGTTTCTCTCTCTCTCTCCTCTTCCTTCCTTTCTGAAATTAATAAAAATATATTTTAAAAAGTAAATAAAATTCTTGACAATTGATAAGTGTCTATCTCTTTCAATATGACTATATTTTTGGAAATGGTGGTGGTCTATAAAGTATATTGTTATTGTTATGATAGGTCTCCAATAAACAATTTGAAAATATCTGTTTCAATGGGCAGGGCTTTGATCCAATTCAGAAAGAAGCTATAAGAGCTGAACACATGGGTTTTTAGGTTTATTCATAGGGATCCCCCAGTTTCTCAGGCCTCCAGCCTTCAGGAAAAGGCTTGTGTAATCATTACGTTCATGAAAACTGCCTGAACTGCCTGATGAGGAAAGGGTAGAAGTCATTACAAGCAAGGGGATGGACTTGCTTTGTAACTGAATTAAAAATCTTTTTAAAACTAGAAAGAATATTTAGTTGAGAGTTTATTCAATGGGATATTCAATCCAATATGTTCCTTAGAGATGATACTGAGGTTTTCGTTAGTAGATGATGTGAAGGGACTGGAAGAAAGAAAGTGAAGGGATTAGGCAAAGAACATACTGTATATGCATGACACACAGACACAGTCAACAGTGTGGTGATGGCAAGAGGGAAGGGGGTGGGGGCTTGGAGGAGGTGGGCAAAGAGGGGGAAGGGATAGTAATAATAAATACTTGGGGGGTTAAATATATATTTTATTGATTTCAAAGAGGAAGGGAGAGGGAGAGAGAGATAGAAACATCAATGATGAGAAAGAATCATTGATCAGCTATCTCCTGCATGCTTCACACTGGGGATCAATCCCACAACCCAGGCATGTGTCCTGACTGGGAATTGAACCATGACCTCCAGGTCCATAGGTTGATGCTCAACCACCGAGCCACTCCAGCTGGTGTATAATAAAGTTTTTTAAAATAAATACCCATCACCCCCGCAAAAGAGGAAAGTGTTCTCTTGTTGAAATGGCTATATTTAGGCTAAAGTTCACCTGTCCTACCCTGAATGCAGAGCAGAAGACAGAGCAGTATCGCTGTGGAGGCCTATTGTACTGTATAATGTGGAGAATGATTTGCACATCATTTCATTGAAACATCTGAGATATTAAATCCCATTTTACAAATGAAAGGCTGGAGGAGGTAACATGGCTTAGCTCAGAGGCACACAATTGGGGACTGACAAAAATTAGAACTCAACACTGCTAATCCCAATGCCCATGCCCTTTTCCCTGCTATACTATCCCCAAATACTAGCGTGATTTGTCAAATTTCTAACAAAATGGTGAGTTGCCTTATGGGCTTGTTGACCCAGTGCATAGGATATGCAGGATCCTGTTATTATTTCTTGATATTATGTTCATTATGAGCTATTTCGCATCAGCTTCATTGTACATAACACAGTAACCTGAACATGCTAGCAAATTCTTTCACCGTGCGTGATGATTTTTGACTCATTCAGAAGTTACACATTTGGCATCATTAAGCAGGATGGATAGTTCATTTTAGTCAATAGGCAGATGGGTTTCAAATACGGCAATATATAGATGATAACGTCAAAAGAAGACTGAAGTCTTCTTTTAATGAAAAAGTAGACACGAGTACAAAGGATAACCTGAGAACCTCAAAGAAATTGTAAACCCTAAATTGCAGGGAATGGAGCAGAGTAAAAAGTTTCTTAGAGTAGACAGGAGAAAAAGAAGAAAATTGGCCCACTAAAAATGATGAGAGAATTGGAGACAGGGTAAGAAAATAACAATTATTTTCTCCATGATTTTAAAGTGAATGAATAGAACACAGAGCTGCTGAAACTTGAGGTTTTATTTTTCAGGGAGAAAGAACATAAAGACAACATGTAGTAGAGGAAAGAAAAATTTAAGTTTGATGAAAGGTCCTAAATGGAAATAAGAAAAATGATGGGGCAAGGCAGTTAAAAATGCTACTTTGAAAATTATAAGATTGTCACAACTTTTTAAAGGAATCATTTTTGAACTAAGGACCTCATTGCTAAAATAATGTTCTGGTAATTTAGTGATATGTGTCATTTTAGGGTTAGTAAGTAAAAAGAAGACCTAATATATGTTAAAAAAGATAATTTTGGTTACCAGGTCCTATCAGAATAAGTTGTTCTATTTAATCTTCTTAGGACTTCTAATAGAATAAGCTTCCTAAAGTTATTAGCTCTATATTATGAATTAATCATTGTAATTATTAAATACAATAACTAGCTTATATGCCAAAGATATTAGTTATCTTAATAATTTTTCTTTGTAATTGTCATTTGAAATAGGTGAAACTTAACAGAATGAACATGTTAAAAATAAAGTGTATCCATCTATGAAATCTTAATTATAATTACATAGTCATTTATGATCATTTTCAGTAGTTCTTGGCAAAAATAAATGAGCATAATGAGTCCCATTAATGGGCTGATGGATTCTGTTTACATGTGGGAGCAGGACTTAATAAAACTATTTAAAATAGCAGGAGAGCAAGTGAAGTGAAATACTAGGTACCAGTGAAAATCCACACCATTGTGTGCATAGAGGCAGAGTGTAATGAATGAGATTATAAATTATTTGAGAACGTAACTCTCACCAAAAGTCAGTAAATACTCAGCTAGTAAAATGGCTACTTTTAGCTTTTTATCAGTAATCTAGAGGCCCAGTGGACGGATTCATGCACTAGTGGTGCACCAGTGGGGTCCCTCAGCCTGGCCTGTGGGGATTGGGCCGAAACCAGCTCTCCAGCATCCCCCAAGGGATCCTGGATTGTGAGGGTGGGTCTCGGGTGACACACCCTGGAATCGGGCTCCCTCCTCTCTGGTTCCAGGTGCATCACCAGAGAACCGCCGCTGCCAAGTCACCAGAGCTCGGCAGCTCCGGCGTTGAGTGTCTGCCCCCTGGTGGTCAGTGCACGTCATAGCTACGGGTCGGACAGTCAGACGGTCGGACAGTGGCTTAGGCTTTATATATATCGATACTCAGCTAGTAAAATGGCTACTTTTAGCTTTTTAGTAAGTGAAAATGACATTAAGGTCAATTTTCTCCCACTCCTAACATCCTGTTCTCATAAGGCTCTGCGAGGATGTTTATATGGACGTGTTATTAGCGCATGAGATCTGTCCCTCCCTGGATTTCTCAAATGTCATGTGCAAGGCAGTGACCTACACCATGTTTTCCTTTGTGGGATTAGAAACCTTGGGTCTATTTTCACCAGCTGTTCACCTCTTCCATAAAATAATATAGATTTCAGAGGGGATAATCTCTATGATTACACTGTTTTTAAGTGGTTCATACAACAAAACACTACGGATTGAGTGAGACGCTCAACTCTCTAACAAGGGAGATAACTTAAACACAGGTAGGCTGAGCAAATCATATAAAATTAAATCAGTCCACTGAAATTAACCAAAACTCATTTCAACTGAATTTAAAAATTAAGGGATTCATAAAGGAATTTTCAAATGCTATAGGGGATACAGTGTAGCATCTACCAACCGCACAGAGTGCTTTGGATTTGCCTTTCCAACGTGATGTTTCCTGATTGTTAACAGAGCTCAGTGGAATTCTCTGGTGATGGGAATGTTCCCTAGCTGGGCTGTCCAAAATGTGAGCTACCAACCCTTGTAGTATGTGGCTGGAGCAACTGGGGAGTTGTAGTTATAATATTATTTAATTTTAATTCAAGTTTAAATGGCCACAGTGGCTAGTGGCTATCTATTGGGCCGTGCAGTAGACTAATGTGCAATGACTAAGTAACATCTGATGACGTGTAACAGTGCTCAGGGATGACAGGTAGCAGCCATCGGGGCAGGGCTCAACTCTGGGTGCACATTAGAATCAGCTAGGGCGTTTGGAAACAATTCTGGGATACACCCCAGGGAGTCTAACCTAATTGATTTGGGGAAGGGCAATACAAACAGTATTGCTCTCTCTAAATCAGAACAATAAATGAGCCCGAGGAGAGATGTTCCCAGGACGGGTTTCTAGCCCCATATTCATTTTACTTCACTCGTGGAGGCAGCCGTGAGTGGGGACAGAGGCCCTGCCAGAGTCGGAGCTGGTGACCAAGGGGACCACACGGTGTGGAGGCCTCTGGTGGATTTTTGGAGACCGTTAGCGGGAGCTATACAAATACAGGAGAGTGAAACATCGGAAAGGTACAGACAAAGGGGGCAGGGGAAAGCTTCCCGAGTGTAAGAAAGAAGTATGACACCCATAGCAAGTGAACTGGCTAATACAGTTATTGAAAAACCGTAAAGAAAAGCCTGATCGGCTGATACCCTGACACTGGCTCATGCAGTCACTCCATCTAAAAACCGTCCTGGTGGCTGAACCCAGTCTTCCTTGCTACACCCCTCAAATGCACTGTCTTGAATTGACACCCACTTCCTGAAACCCGTTTAAATGTCCTTGTCTTCCACTGTGTCTGGTCTTGGGTATTCCAGGGTCTCTCTCCCAGCTTCAGTTGACCCTCTTCCTTGGTCCCACAACCAGCTCAAGTTGGAGACTCCCTAAGTTATCATGTGATTCACCTGAATGGCTAGCAGATGCCCCAGGGAGTCTGCGCCAAAGCCGTGGGGTTTTTCCTTTGAGTTTCACTGCCCTGTAATGGGAGAGAACCCATGACCTTGGTGTCATTAGCACCAAGCTCTCACCAGCTGTGCTAACCCGTCTCTAAGTTTCAGGGGAAGTTTAAGGTCACAGAGATTAGGCTGCCTTTTTCCATTGTGTTCTCTGAAGATAGGGTGAATTACCTTGATTGCAGAAGTTGCCTAAATAAAAGATATTTCAACTTTGCAATTTTGGGGGGGAACAGTGTGTACTCCCAGTGGATGTGGAGCAAGCAATCAGAATGGGTGACCATGGATCAGTTACAAAATCCTTGTGAAAAGAAACCTGATGGTCATGGGATGTCTTGCTGAGAAAAAAAAAAAAAAATTACTTTATACATAAAATCATCAAACTCTTTGTCCGTCATTACCTTAAGAAAACACATTCAAATAAAAGAATGGGACATAATTCATTGTTTCAGAACAATTTTTTCTCAATTGTTTGGAAAGCTTTCATTGTTTGTGAAATCTTTGTTCCTTATTTATCTCCACTGACCTTCAAGAGGGATTGAAAGCATTCTGATAGGGATAAAAAAAAAAGTTAACTTCTTCCCTACAGCTTCATGAAGTACCTCCTGTGTGAATCACACTAACCTTTTGGGCATAGGTTTTAAACATGGAGGGGAAAGAGGACATAGTTAGTGGCTTTCATGTATTTTTGCCATTTGCAATGAAGGCTACCTCCCCTCATCAAAAAACACACATATAAAAAACAAGCATTTTCATTACCAAGAAATCTGTCATTTAATAATGATATTTCAACATCATGATGTTAATATTAAACAGGCTCACTCCCGTGATATTTCTGAGTTCACCTAAAATATAGTTAAGTACCAAATGAGGAATAAAATAATTACCAGTTGTAAAATGTGTCAGCTAAGTACAATGATAACAATGTACACAGTTGCATTGCAAGGTAGCTGGTCAATCTCACTTCTAAAAGACAGGAAGAAACATATAAAAAGAAAAATAATTACCATAAAGGAAGTTTCCTAAAAATGGAAGAAATGAAGGAGACTCTTAACTTAAATAAGAATATCAAAGTTGGGCCCTAGCTGGTTTGGCTTGGTGGATAGAGCATTGGCCTGAGGACTGAAGGGTCCTTGGTTCAATTCCTGGTCGGGGTACATGCCCGGGTTGCAGGCTCGATCCCCAGTAGGGGGGGGGTGCAGGAGGCAGCTGATCAATGATTCTCTCTCATCATTGATGTTTCTATCTCTTTCTCCCTCTCTCTTCCTCTCTGAAATCAATAAAAATATATACATTTTTTAAAAGAATATCTAAGTTGGGTTTTTTAAGGTATTCATAAATAATTCATGTATATATTGAAAACAAAATACAGAGAAGAAAAAAAAGCAGAAAATAAAAACTATCCATAATTGTCTTACCCCTCTGTTGCCTATCCTGCCAGAATCATTCATCCATTCATTCATTTATTCACTCTCTTCCTCATGGCTCAAGATAAGTCTATATAAATTAAAGTGCTTAAGAACTATTTGTAATCTGTATAATATACATTTTTATATATCATAATTTATAATATTTACAGAGTCTTAATTTATATATATAATGATATCTGAACCAAGCCAACCATCATTGGATTGATTTTGACAATGTATATCAAAAGTCATAGAAAAAAATGCTTACCTTTTGATTCAGTAATTCAAGTTCTAGAAATAAATCCTAAATAAATAATTATCATTTGCAAAGATTTAGTGAGAAAGTCACTCATAATCTTGTATAAATTTTTGAAAATCAGAAACAATGTAAATATTTCAGAGCTAACAAGAGAGATACCCTGTTGGGGGTAAATGATGGTGAGGGCTGATCGCTAACAGGATGGCATGTTGATGAACTCATTCAGGGTTATAGATTTAAAAGAGAAATATATTTAAGATTATTTTATTTCCCTGAAGCATAAAAAGTCTATATTACACAGAGAAAATAAATATGCTAGCCATTAAAAAAAGAAAGAATGAGCTGAAACCGGTTTGGCTCAGTGGATAGAGCGTCAGCCTGCAGACTGAAAGGTCCCAGGTTCGATTCCGGTCAAGGGCATGTATCTTGGTTGCGGGCACATCCCTAGTAGGGGGTGTGCAAGAGGCAGCTGATCGATGTTTCTCTATCATGGATGTTTCTAACTCTCTATCCCTCTCTCTTCCTCTCTGTAATAAAATCAATTAAAAAAAAAGAATGAATGAATGTAAATACCAATAACTAAGGAAATAATTAAATAAATTATTATTTGTCCTTACTGGAATATTAATGTAGCTACCCTAAAAATCATGTTTTGAAGGCTTGATGGCATGGGAAAATATTAAATGAGTAGGCAATGTAATCCCAAAGTTGTAAGCTTTAAAAAATATTTGACATCTGAAACAATCAGATCATGTAATATTTAAAAGATATGTCTTTCAAATATCAGTAAAATGAGATAACTATGAATAATTTTTAAATATGCAAGACCTTTTAGAGAAAATGAAAAATGTTACTGAAAGTCATTTAAAAAGACAAAATAAATGACAAGTTCTATAAGGTTAATGGGCTGAAAGGCTATCATAATGATGTCAGTCCTTCTTAAATTAATTTATAAATTCAATGAAATTTCATTAAAAATTGATTTTAAAATTCCTTGGAAGCAAAAATTGCCATAAATAGCAAAACAATTTTGAAGACAAACAAATTCTCTTTTAAGAAGGATTATAAAGTCAAAGTAATTACCAAGTTATGAAAATTAAAACTGGTATTAGTGAAGGCATTAACCCATAGAGGAAAGAAACAGCCGAGAGAGCTCAGAATCCAATTCACTCATTTAGAGGAACCTCATGTTTAATAGAGGTAGCATTACAGATCAATGGGGGGAGACTGCACCATTCCATTAATGGCTCTGGGACACTTGGTTTATGTCGATGGAAACATAAAATTATATTCATACCTCTTGTCAGACCCCAAACCCCCTTTCAGCTGGAATAAGTAGTAAAATGTGAAAAAGAAAAGCCATAAGACTTTTAAAACAGAATATAAATAAATCACTTTATGGTGTCCAAGCAGGGAAGGATTTATGAAACAGAACTCAAAGCACAAATGAGTTCTGATAAAGAAAAAGTATGATAAATTCCAAAAATTAAGATTTTCCATGAAACACAGGATAGCATAAGCAAAGCAAAGACAAGCTATACACTAATCTATTTAAAATACATAAATTAAAATTAGAAGATATAAAGAATTATGAAAAATCAATAATAAGAAGAAAACCAATGTTTCTGTACATTTTTCCTGCTGGCATTCTGTTGCTATAGTATTGGGACATAAAAATTCAGAGCTGTTCTTTGTGTCTCCTTAAGGATTTTTTTTTTAATCCAGTACATTTGACTAGTTCATTTTCATTAAATATTAAAAATGTTTTATGAGTCCTAGATAAAATTCACTAGCAATTTATTTTTAATGGTAATTATGTATTTTTCATTTCCATTGTAGGATTTTAAATTATTTTCTTTCCTAAGTCAAAATTAACATTTATTAATACACTGTCTTTAAAACAGTCATCTGTTTATAAAAAAGCTTATGCTTTTAATTTTCTCAATTGACTAAGTAAACTCTGATTGTCATGTAGAGTTGATTGGGTTTATTCTTCTCTGCTTGTTTTACCAACATAGAACATTTTTGAAATATCTCATAGTCCTCAATTTCTTTTTCTTTCCCTAAAATCTTCCCTTTAGGAATGTTTTATAATTAAACACACACACACTTTTCAAAATTCACTATAAAAAAGTAATGGTATTGAGCTATTTTACACATGGCTCACTCCTGGAGGGAAGCTACATGCCTGGAGGAGAAAGAATAATTAGATTTCTTATGATTTTTAAAATATGGTGTCTAGTTTAATCATTTATTTTTATTTGGATTATCTAATTGGATAGATATGAGATAAACGGATATTTAAAAAACAATACTAAGCTACTAGTTTGACTAAACTCTATCTGGCACATAGCTAAATCCTTCACCTCATTTATTTAAATGTTTAGTAAACAATGACACATTAAACGCAACACCAGGCCATTGGCCACATGCTGGTGGAACAGCACAACCAGGCATGGGCACTCTACCACTCAAGAGGCCATGCTGGGGATGGGATCAGGTGACAGAATGGAGGCCACAGCTAAGTGGTTGGTATAGCTATGGGTAGGTGACAGCAAAGTCAGTACACAATTAAGATTCTAGCAATAAGAAAATGAGCAATCAGATAAATAGCCTAAACGTCAAAAATCAAAACTTCGTATAGATGGGGACATGCAAAAGATTGGAAGTGGAAGTGAGGCAGAGAACAGACTTGAAGGCTATGTCTGTCCTTCAAGGGAGCTAAGGTCCAGTAGCCAAGATAAGCCCTTGCTGAGTAGCTCAATTGGTTAGAGCATCGTCCAATACACCAAGGTTTCAAGTTCGATCCCTGATCAGGGAACAAGCAAGAATCAACCAATTAATGTATAAATAAGTGGAACAACAAATCAATGCTTCTCTTTCTCCTTTCCTCTCTCTCTAAAAAAAATAAGTAAAAAAAATCAATCAATAAAGGAAATTAAATATAATGTTAAAAAAAAGAGCCAAGATGGCAGAAACTGCTCTCTCAGAGCTGGAATTGACCACACACCCATGCACACAGTTTGTCCTCAAGCTGGCAGGGTTCAAAAAGCTCAGAAGCTGGATGAACACGGACGGAGGCTCCCACAGTGACTCACCTGCCTTTCCGATTAACACCAGAAAAGAATATCATAGTATTCAGGGGGAAATGTGATGACTTCCAGGGAGTCTAAATGAGTAAAAGACACCGGCTTTTAGTAAACAGAACAATGAAGCTTCAGGTTGAAGATGACATAAAGTGACAAGGTGTGTTCTGTAGTCAGTGAGCAGACCTGCCTGCTACAGCCAAAGGTTTCTTAGGAAAAAGACCCTGAAGAAGTAAGTGGCTCAGAAGGTGAAGTTCCAATGCCAGGGATAGCAGGAGACTAAATTGTAGGTTCTTCGGGCTAGGTACCACATCCTATCTAATAAAAAAGTAATATGCA